GTGAGCAGCATTAATACAAATCTAACTGATTGAACCACTCATGGTCTGCTAACAAATACCAGGTATAAAGTGACTTAGCCATGGTATGATGTATGAAGCTGGGGAAAAAAAAGTCACTTTTCAGAGAGTTACTAAGTGCTATGTACAGATTCAGCTGAATGCACAATCCTTGTCATAATATCAACAGGTGAGGGAACAAAAGGGAACTGGTAGTTCTGGTGCACAGATAGACCAGTAGCTTCTCTGCCTTTCCTTCTGAAAAAACAGCTTCCAGAATCTGCTTCCACCTTCCTATAAAAACCCTACATCAAGCTTAATACCTCTTTATTTGACTGGAGTAAATCACATCAGTGTTTCATGAAAAAAGTGACAGTTTAATTCAGTAACATTGAGGTTTCTATCACCTGATTACAAGGGTCAATTGCAATTCAGGCTATTTTGCCCTAGAAGAAACATTGTAGAACCATTGTGTATAGCAATTTGTTTACTCTCCTGGTTTTGAAAGTTAGCTGACCAATGCTGTTTTGTTTTGGTCACTACTAATTCAGTTAAACTATTCTGTCTGACAAATGCATGTCCTGTACTTCTGTAGTTGACACTTTCCCAGCAACTTCCCATTAATGGTAATTAACTTTATGGCCACTCCCCACAAGTAATTAAAAACTTCCTAGAGACAACTAACACACGGGACTTACTGAAGGCAGCAGGAGGACTCCTTATTCTGAGAATGTATCTTCATTCTGCCTGTTTGCAAGCAGTAAGTTCATAGCTTGAGCTCTGCCTTCCAAAACGCACTAACAAAATACGAATAAAAACTGGTATTTGAGTTTAAAGCTATTTTTGTTGCCAAACTGGAGAACTTAATTGCAAACATAAGACCACGACGAAGAAGAGAGCTACCTGTCGTCAGCTAAAATACATTACCTGATGTGTTAAACTCTAGTGTGAAATACAGAGAGTGGTCCTGGTGATTTCAGTGAAGCCATGTATGCAAAGGAAAGGAGAGTTTGTCTCCTTTATTTACTGACACCAATGATGGTGGAAAAGCATAAAATGCAAAAAAAACCCCAAATAATTCTAAGGCATTATCTCTGAAATGCATGCTAGCAGCCAACAGCTTCAAAGATCATAAAATGCACCACAGCAGTATCAACCGTATGCATAAAGTATTAACTGCTATTAAAATGTCTGAGGTTTTAACCTCTGTCCTAAAAATGTGGGGACCAGCTCTAAAGCAAAGCAATATTTTGAACCACAAAATCTGTAAGTTACAGTCAAGCATATACCAGGTATTCTTTAAACTCATAAAACAGAGAAATTCAAAGTCAAGACTGGAATTCTTTCCTGAGCTAACCCAGAGACAGACAACAGCCAACTGTTATTAGGCAGATGCTCAAAGGTTAAGGAGGCAAGGAGTCAATGAAAAAAGTTCTCCTTACACTCACCTAAACAAAAGGATTGAAAAAGATTCTTAACTATCAGGGGAACTGGCATACAAACAGAGCAAAGAACTGAGACACACTTGACAATCAGCAGAAGAGAATTCACACTGCATCACCCTAGAAGATGTAGCATACCCAGTAGCTACATAAATGAACAGGAACTAGCACTGTTCCTAACAACCTTAAAATCTCCCACTGCAGTGAATCCAGCAAGATACCTGAAAGCATGTATTGCCTTTAGGAAAAAGCTATGCATCAGTATTATATGGTAAAATTTCCACCATTACAATTTGGCTCACTGTAAGTCATAAATCTAATATTTTCCTGAATCTGAAAGTGTAACTTAAAAATGAAATATTTTAAGTAGCTTGAGGCATTGCCTCTCAATTCTTTATTCACAGTATCTATTTCTTCACTTAAATTCTCTAAAATTGCCCTCATATCAGAAATGGTGGAAAGTATAGTACAAAGAATAATGCACATGTAACATTAGAAGGATCACTGTCTAGTTGCTAAGATGTCGTTTTATTTACTCAGCTCAAAGGGCTAAATCCTCTCTTTGAATTCTTGTCCGACTTAACGTGCTGAACAATAAGGGAAATCTGACCAATATCCACAATACTTTTGCTGGAACCATAAGTGACTAAACAGTTTAAATAGGTCTAGTACTTAAAATAGTTTCAAAACAACTACCAAAGAGCTCCTTTTAAGGTCAAATTGGCTCCTTGTCAGTAAACACACATACAAAAAGGCAGAAACTTGCAGCCCCTTTAGTGCTTTAGGTCTGATGCCTTAATTGTTCAAACACCTCTCCAGGTATTTAACTTCAAGTTCCTAAGTGAGAAGAGAAAGGCTTCAGGTACTTAAATGTGCAAAATTCTCTGCAGGATTAGGACATGATCTATGATCAAAAGCAACAAACAGTTTAAAATAATATACAGAGGGAATGGATGAGGAACTATGGGAGAAAAGGCAATGAACATAGATTAATATTAAAGATAGATGGTTGAAAGAGGTAATTTTTCTAAAGGTAAGACACTGTGACAGTATTCCAAAGCTGAAAGAACATGAAAATTTTCCAAGTTACTTCAAAAACACCAACTATCTAGACAGCAACATCAGAGCCCAAAGGAGGCTTGTAATTTTTTGGCCTTTGATTTGAGAGTTCAGCTGTTTCTCTTGTCATGTCACGCCATCACAAATCAGTGAAGAACATGAGCAGAGAAAAAGTCAAGCAATTTTCTCTGAGATTTCCCTTTGGTTTAGAATTTATTTCCTTCTGGGTCACTAAACCCCATGTTGGAAAACCTGCTCTACCCCTTTTTTACCAGAAACTTCATATAAAAAGGTCTAAAAGGAGTGCTAGAAAGACATTAGTATACAAACTAGGTCCACTGTTAATCAGGGATTTTTACTATGTTTTACCATCCATAGTTGCACGTGTCTGTTAGAGTAAGATCAATGAACTACTAATGAACTTCATGTGAACAGTACATCAAATAGGAATATCCAAAGCACTGACTGTTTACTTTTGATAATGGAAGAGTTGAGCAGAGTATTCAACATAGCTTTTCCTGGTATTTAGATCTAGTTCCACTACTCAGTTCTAAAAGCCCTTTCATACATGAATAGGTCTTTCTTGTGTGGATATTTTCCATCTGCACTACCCGCTTCCAAATACTTTTTTTTCCCCTTCAAAACTATGACTTGAAATCTGTACAATCATAATCATGATCGCATTTTCAGAGCATTATGGCCATGGCAGATAGTATTTTTAAATGTAGATGCTATTTTAAATGCGTATAATTTCTTAGAGTGGATATTACCAGACTTTTACAATAACCTGTTAAATTAATAAATGCAGTCTGAATCTTTCATAATAGGTTATTAAAAATAGGGGCTTTTTTCTGAGCACTTACAAGTTATGCTCACATTGATCGCACGCTGATGGAACACAATACACTACCACTTCAGAGGACTGGTAATGTCACATGAAGACATAACTTCCTTTAACTATTGCCTCAATTAAGCATCAACCTCTTTTGTAACTGTAAGGGAATCCCAACAAAAACTTCAAAACAAAAAGCAGAAGGCAGAAAGCCAAGATTACCTACACATCTTCATTACATCCAATTGTTTGTGGTTTAGAAACTGGCTTAAGAAAGAAGGTGTACTGTGCAGCGTGATCATCATAACAATGATTACATAGTTTAACAGTGTTTGAAAAAAAATAACATAATGTGGAAAAGCCAGGTTTTGCACATTATTAACTTTCCAGTTTAATTTAAAATGCAGTATATCTCCAGAGGCTGTGCTATAAATCATGGATTAAATACCTGCAGATTTCCTTAGTCTGAAAATAAAAGAGTGCATGTGGTGAGAATTTGTAAGGAAAAAAAAAAGGTATGACTTAGATGTAGTGACAGGAAACAGGGCGCTTAAAGAACAGTGGTGGGAAGTGAGAACTTAAAGAGGAACAATAAAGGCCAAAAGAGGTTTGATGAGGGATCAGGAGTAGAAGACTCAGTGAGCTAGTCAGCCAGCTAGATACAGCTTTTAAATCCTTTGCACAATGTGATCTGCCAAAGAGGCATCCCACGAATAATATTGTATTTATCACCCCCAGGGATATTAAAAATGGACTTTCTTTGTAGCTAGCCTTTAAAGAAGTAAATGGAGTATAAATCCAATGATTACACTGTTTTATTTGAATAATCTAAAATTTAAAATATTATTAAAACTATTTACTTTTAAACCACTAGGTATGTTTTTCAGGTTTATTTAATTTAGTCTCAGCTGATTATTTGGTAACAAGCACAGCAGAATGCATCCTTTTACTACATACTTTGGGCTGCAAGATTTTAAGCAAATATTTATAAATTTATTGCATAAAGGCCTAAATGTGCAGGTTTTTACTGCTACTGTAAGTTTATTTACCTTAATTATTGCACACTGGTACTTGCAGCGAAAGCTTTGCTACTGCTTAGCTATTCAGCATTCTATTCAGCTACCTAGCTTCATGTTCCTCTGTTCCCATAACCATGTATCATCTTTCTAGAAAGAGATCTGAACAATGTGAGAAAGAATAAACTCAATGTCAGAAAAAAAAAAGAAAACCAGACCTGACAAATCAATACAAGTACAAAATTAATTTCAAAATAAAGCTTTAAATTGAAAAGTTAAAGCCAACACAATAGATTTCATGTTTCAAGATTAATACAACATGAACCTGATCTCATTTAACTGAAATCAGGGAAAATTCTGTAGTACACTTTACAAGGAGCAGAATCAAGTGTTCTGGGCTCCTTTTTTTCCTAAAATTAAAGTATGTTTTCCCCAGCTCATTGCTACCCACACATTTTGGTGTACAGTACAAATGACTCAGGCAAAAGATGCAGCATAAGGACTAAAATGTACCCTTTGCTTATGTATGATGGCACCAGACATGCTATGGGAAATCTGTAGCCCACTACTGCATCTAACTAAAGATTTATGTTATAAAGGAATATATACAAATGACTAAGCAGAACACTCAGCATAAGGATTAAGACTTCTTACCCCATATTTACATTGTCGGGATGTTGCTCCATACTGGAAGCGACACTGTTCATCAGCATCATACACCTGACCTGGGGCCACAGCTGGATAAAGAAAGTCACGCTTGGGAGGCTCATTATCAAGGCAAGTACCACGGCCCGAACTGTTCAACATAAAGGACCAAATCAATTAGGAATTCTACTGGCTGTAAATCACAGTAATGATATAATGTATCTAGCTCTTAATTTTAACAGCACTGGGTGTGAAACAAATATGATTGCAATAAACAAACAGTAAGATGGTACACCCATAGTAAAAAGAAAAAATAATTAGAGGGAATTAAGAGACTAAAATAATTTTTCATCATTATTAACAAAAATGCTTATTTTAGATTGTGAAATAGATTTCATATACTATCCTTTTTTAAAGTGCGATAATTTCTGAGCCACACAAGACTGATTTTCATTTTTGTTTTAAGATTCCTATTTGTTTTCACTGAAGAATAGCTACATTTGGTCATAGAATGAAAAATAAACAAATTAAGCAAATAAAAGAAATTCAGCTTACAATTCTTGATGACCCTTCTGATCCTTCAAACAGCTAAGTACAATCTTATAGATATGAGCAGTGCAATTGGTTTATGTAAAACACATTTAAATTTCAATATGACTAAACGTTTATAGGATTAGGACCTTAACATCCATGCTTTTCTTCCATATGAGTGAACAAAATAGTTACATTGCTAAAAATTCTGCAGGATCTTCAAATTTACCTATACTAAGGTGAGTGAAAAAATTTGTATGGATCCAAGATCTTTTCTATTGCATTAATAATATTTAGTCTTAAAATTTTCATGTTAGAAATAAGATCATCATCTTTGAAAACTTTAATATTTTCTTCTTTTATATTCAGTGTTTTCTTTGGTGGTTGGTGGTTTTTTTTTCCAAAATATGCCCATATTCAACCACAGTATTTTAGTGTAGTGGAATAAATAACAAAGAATGCCAAAAGCAGACAGAGTTCTGTTTAGAAAACTTTGTACTTTGCTAAATATAATTATTCAGTTTTATTTAGTCAGTGTGCATAAGAGGACAGATGCTTTTTTACTTTCATTTCACATGTGAATAAGTGAGGATTTTTAAAGAATTCTTATGCCAACACTTTAAATTTTTTTCCAACATTCCTACAAATTTTGCCAGCACTTATGGGTTTTTTTCCAAATCTTTTCCATGCACCTTGCCAAAGGAACATAATTTCCCAAGTGAATGTTCTACACTGTTTTTTGGAGATCTCCAAATTTCTAAACTTTTCATCTGCAGACGAAAAAAGAGCAAAAAGCCTCCTTTAACTACACATTTTATGTTCTCATTTTAACCCTATTTTATTCAATCCTTTGAAATACTGTAATAAAGCCTTTGGAAAAACAAGGAAACAAACAACTGCCAACCATTTCAGAAGCAGGCAAACAGCAACTAAGGCAATAACTAAGTAAGTACAGAAAAAAAAATTACATTTGGTTACTAATCCCAATGAATTGAGTGTGATTCACCTGCACACACACCCTATCCCCACACCCCAGCTGAAATCTACCTTTAAAATATCAACTGTGTGGTTCTGGCATACAAAATAATGTACTTGCCCCCTTATTCCAGGTTTAATTATTGCAAGCATATATATTTTCTAATAGCAGCAGCTGGGAAACTATCATACGTTCTTTTGAAATATTTCAGTGTTGTATTTTGCATGTATGAGGAGTACATGTTAATAATACCAATATGAAAATAACTCAAATACAATCTGATTTTTCTGCATTGTCTGGATCAAACTTCAGATAGGAACGTTGCTTAAACAACAGTGGGAAGTTCAGCATTTGACATCAGCTTGAGCTAGTATTCATTGATGGGAACATTTTCATAGATTTCAATAGTGCAGAGTTTGGTCTGTAAACTGTGATCCTGTAAACTGACAGCCATGGGCACAGAATTTAACAACCCTCATTACCTTTGATGACTCTCTCCATAGGCATTTGTGGCCCTGCACGGATTAAATTACAGAATCAGATCTAAATATTTAAATTCATCAAACTTGTAAATTAAAGTCTATACCTACTCTACATGACATATAACTGCAGAAATGTAAATAAAAAACCTAGTACGAAATACAAAAATATGCCTCCTCTGCTCTAATGACAGGATTTTCACCATAGTGAAATATTGTTTGTCCTGGTTTTGGCTGGGGTAGTTAATTTTCTTCCTAGTAGCTACTATAATGTTGTGTTTCGGATTTAGTATGAGAAGAATGTTGTTAACACACTGATGTTTTCAGTTGTTGCTAATTAGTGTTTATACTAAGTCAAGGATTTTTCAGCCTCTCATGCCCAGCCAACAAGAAGGATGGAGGGGCACAAGAAGTTGCAAGGGGACACAACCAGGGGCCAAAGGAATATTCCGTACCATGTGACGTCATGTCCAGTATATCAACTGGGGGGAGCTGGCCTGGGGGCGATCACTGCTTGGGAACTAACTGGGCATCGGTCGCCGAGTGGTGAGCAACTGCATTGTGCATCACTTGTTTTGTATATTCCAATCCTTTTATTAGTATTATTGTCATTTTATTATTGTTATTATCATCATTATTATTGTCTTCCTTCCTGTCCTATTAAACTGTTCTTATCTCAACCCACGAGTCTTTGCCTTTTTCTTTCTGATTCTCTCTCTGATCCCACTGGGTTGGGGGAAGTGAGTGAGCAGCTGCGTGGTGCTTAGTTGCCAGCTGGGGTTAAACCATGACATGTTGTAGCAGTAAAAAAGCAAGAAAAAGACTACTAAGCAGTCATCCACTTACTAGCTACACTACATCACCACCTCGCAGAGTGAAAATTTGTTTCTCTCTTTTGTTCTGCTTCAGTTCTATTATTTCTCTCAAGTAGTTGAAGACAACTGACACATTTTACACACTTACTGTGAGAACCTGATACTGTATTGTGTGAATTGAAGTATTTTGGAAATGCAATAGCATGTGTTATAAAACACATTAATAAAACCAGGGACTTTCCATTGGTAATGAAAGGTTTCACCAAAGCTGTGCAAAGGATGAAGACAGGCCAACGACCATATAACCTTTCCAGACAACTTCTACTGGACTCAGGAATGCTGTAATACGAGTTGAGTCTATGTCTTTGTTCTTCTCCCTTTCTCTTTGCTCCAGCAAAGCAAAACCCAGATACTTGAGAAAAAAAATCTGCTAAATCTAGGGGAATGAACCAAAAGGTTGAATGGTATTAGAGCATTTTACAATCACAGAAGTAATAGTTATTATCAATCAGGCCTACAAAAGTGAAAAAGGCCTTTGTGTAGATGTACAAAAGATAACAGGAGGGAAAAGAATGCCCAAATACCTTCATCTCTGCAATTTGAGAAAATTTCTACTCACAACTGCTTTTGTGCTTTGTGATCTTACCTTATATAGGAAGCACATACAAAGTCAAAAAACCTGCAGGATATCCCTGCAGAGCACTTACATTTTTTAATAGGGAGTGGATAAATCTTTAGTGTCTGCAATAGAAATATGATGATCTCAAACTCATCCTTACATTCTATTTACTCCACAAGATACTACTAGTATTCAAAGACTTCCTAATTTTCCTAATTTTAGGTTAACTTCATGAGGTTTTATGGGACATAGTGGGACTGGTTTCAATTATAAAATAGCTAAGTTTGATGTCATTTCATCCCAGTATTCCCATGTAGTGTCTCAAGAGATCTTTGTAAAACATTCTACAATAAAATTTAAACATTTAATATCACAGGATAGCAAATTAATCTTCTGCTTGGAAGGGTATCGAGGATACTAGAGCATTCTCTCAAACCTTAAGATCTCAGACATGCTATCGCCACTAACTGCTTGATCAAAGTAACAGCAACTAGGGATTCAATGTTAGAATAGTTACAGACTGAACAACCAAAACTGAGGATCATCACCTCTGTACAGACATCACTGTTGTATCCAAGGCCCATAAAGAGAAAAAGCAAAAACCACGCATGTAGACCTTTCAGGGTTTATGCTCCTATTAGAGTATATATTCCCAAATATCTCAGCAACATACACAGTACAACACAACTCTTTCAATGGTTGAAGAAAATATCCCAGAACACTGGCACTGAAAATAGGGTTTGAATGTTACATAATTGGCTCATTCATCGTAATGATGTGGACTATAACGCAAGCTATGAGTAACAATCATAAATTAAATGTATTATAAATATTTTTAATTATATGTAATAGCTAAACGATCATATACATAAATATATTGATAGTATACATAATATTTTATTTAATTCTGTTACCAAATTAGCCATAAAAATATGGAAAAAATACTAAAATTAATTAAACACAGTGCATTTTATACACATATATATACACACACATATAAACCCACAAATTATTTACATGCCTATATATAACATTTGGCTCCTAAAAGAATCCTTACTTCATATTTATTACATACTTTTCCTGAGTAAAGACTGATTTTTAGAGAGCACCAAGATATATTTCTGTACAGGTTACAAAAGCTGCTTAACTTGACATTAATGAATAAACTCTGCAGATTGCTCAATAGTCTACAGATAATAACATAAATATTTGCAGAATCAGGGCATAAGTAATGGAAGTGTGATTTGGAGTGGTATGTTTAAAATTAAAATGAACCAGAATAGTATTACTAAATGAAAACATCCTTGAATGTTAGGGAAATGCAGATATTGATGTGGATTTACCACTCACTCTCATGATAATTTCTACTTCTTTCCAATCTTGTATGAAAGGCTGGATCTATGTCTTATTATCTATTTCATAGTAAAGACTCTAATTTTGCACAAAATTTTCATAATACTAATTTTTTCTTTTGTTTGGTAGCGGACAATTTGCTATGTCTTTAATGTATACTTTCCTCTACAATATAGTCTGTGTTCCAAAGTATTCTTTTATTCATTTGAATAATTATCCAGCAGCCATATTAGGAAAAATCTATTGGTCCATCTATCAAACTCATCCACCTGCTTAAATCTATTGGTATCTGGCCTTCAGAGTTTGGGAGATACTAAGCTATAAAATATTGGGCCAATTTATTGTTCTATATTTATTTCCTCAAACATGCTACAAATA